CCTCAATCAGCCGCAACACTTGCTCCCATGGCTTCTCTCTCTCCTTTCTCACTGTTCATGTTCTCTCTCCCCATCATCTTTGTCTTTATCTCCTCTTCCAAACCTTCGCGCTGTGTTTAACGGTTGTCCTCTGCTTCGTTGTTATTGTTAAGGATGCTGCCTGTTCTCTGACCTTAAGAACGTGTCCTGGCTCATCCAAATTTGATGTTTCATAACCTTCCTTCCTTTGTTCCCCAGTTAAAAATCTGGATATATATATATATATATGTTCTCACAAAGTTCTTTTCCTTTCCTCCCCAGTTTAAACATTGAACAGTATAAACTCATAGGAATTGATGAACCATTCAGAATCCTGTTTCTTGACTTTCATATTTTGACAAGAATTATGTCTAATCATTTTGATCTTATAGATTAATTTTCAGTTTCAACAGATTCGATGGTAAATTTCATAATATTATTTCTTCATCTTACGTCTCCTTAAGGGTTCATCTGATATGAGGGGAATAGAAGAAAGAGGAGGGGAGAAAAAAAATTTATATAGATATATAAAATATATTCTTATTTTTGCATGGAATATTAGAAATACGTGTTTTACAAAATTATACTATATACAGCTTGAGTTAATTTGAGATATTTATTAGTTTTTTAATATGTCTTTGATCATTATTTAAACTCCAAATTTAAATTATTAAACGATGAATAATTATGTTATGAAGTTTTACACACCTCTTTAGTCAGGGAATATATGACTTGAAAATTTAAGTTCTTGAGTAAATTTTTGAGTATTTTTTTCTTAAGTAAATATTTAGAAATTCTTTTATAATAATACCTAACATAGACACGCACACATATATGTTTTACATTTTGAAATGGTACCCTGCCTAATGAAAAGATTTAAAATAACTAGTTTTTCAATTTTTCTTAAAAACATATAGAAATGATAATTATAAAGATTAAATAAATTGTTCCCTCAGTCTCCCCATTTAATTTTAGGGTCTCTATTTTTTGGGAAAAAAAAGTAGAAACACTATTGCGATAAATACTCGCAATGTATTTATTTAAATTAAATACTCCAAACTCTCTGCGTGCGTGCGTGTGGGTGTCATTTTGTGTCCGCCTTCCCTTGTGTGTCATTTTATTCCCTTTGGTATATTAAAATTGAAATAACAATTACTTTGAGACCCAAAGAAAGAAGGGAATACATATTTTCTTTATCAAAACCGATTTAAGTCATCATTAAGGAATGAACATATGGCTTACTTCAACTTTAGAATGGGTGTCCCCATAATTAAAGACGTCAAGTAAAGAACAAATCATCGTCATCTATTCTCCTTTAAAGGGTTCAGACTTCCTTCTTATCTTTTTTCACATTCTTATGTCATTCATTGTCTTCTTTCATGAACTCATCAAGGCGTCTTGCAGGTAAATATTGTCTTTGAAGAACTGTTAATTCTTTAATTAATTTTCACCAGGAGAAAATTGTGAATATTAGAAAATTAAACATAAAAAACAATCTGTTAGATGTTCTCACTTTGTAACTGTAAATTCATACTAATTGGATTTGTTTGTGTTCAATCTGTGACGGTGACAGTATAATCATGCAGAACGCTGTTTCTTAACTTTCATATTTTGACAAGATCGAAGAATTATGTCTAATCATTTGGATCTTATAGATTAATCATATCAAAACATAACAACAAAAATAAAATAAATACCATCTTCTGATCACCTTCCTTTTTGTTCACTGGCTCCTGAAATATTTTCAAACAAATTATATTTTTTATTGGCTTTTAAATTAATTTCATCAAATATTTTAATATTAAAATATTAAACATCAAATCTGTTAGGCGCTTTTGTCATATTATAATGAATTTATATTAACTGAATATTTATTCTTGAAAGAATTTATTTTTTCTGCATTTCATAAAAAGTTTGGCCAGTGAACTTTATTTTTTCCTCCTTTTGGTTCCTCAATAATTGCAATAATGTGAGGCCAAAAAAAATAATTGCAATAATGAATTTTAAGAATTAAATTTTTTTAAATTTAATATATCATGTATTTGTACCAATTGCATGAATTGTTATTTGTTACTTTTGTGCAACTGGACATCTCTTAATTTGAATTAAGAGTTACTCGATAGGTCATTTCTGTATTATTCGTGTAACTTTATTATAATATTTGAGGTAAGTACCAAATATCATAATAACCCATTTAGTCACTTATTTTATTTATATTTTATTTTTCTTATTATTTGCCATGAATATAGTAAGGGAATAATATCTCAATCAACAAATAAATTGATATTTTGATAAAGGCAAGGTTTAAAAAACCGGACCAATCATTAAAATAATTGAGGCAATGGGTTAGATCAAAGTCCAACCGGAATCAGACCGGTCATATCAAAATAATATAATTTAATTGACAACAACAAAATATAACAATATTTATAAATAATAATCACTCAATAAAATATAAGAAACTATAAAAATATTTTAAATGTTTGATTTTTTTCCCAACAGTTTAATTGTTTAATTGTAGCAATCAAAATTATTAAAATACATATCTATTTTAAATGTTTGATATTTTTAGGTGTTTGAGACAAAAATCTGCACTTCATTAAAATACATATCTTTTTTCTCATTTTTTTAAACTTTTTTTTCTCTCTCCCACGTGACTGCTCCCCATTTTCCTTTCCATGACACGCATCATGCGCAGCTTTCCTCTTTCTTCCTTGAACAACGAACAAGCAGCAAGCACAGTAAAATAGCAAACCTGGAACCCGCTTCACAGTTCTTCATTTCTCTTTCTCAGCTAAATGGCTTTTGCTTTTCTCATTTCTCTTTCATTTGTCCATACTTCATCCGTCCCATTATCTCTATCATCTTCGTTCTTACGTTCTAATCTTCTAGTTTCTCCTCTCTCTCTCTCTCTCTCTCATAGTTTTTCTCTTACAGCTTCAACAACAAATAAGTCCCCCTGGTGAAGCCTTGAATGTTGAATCATCCTTTTATCTTTCTTCCATGCGTTTTAGTTTTCACGCTAAAATGCATCTTCACTTCATTTTCTGGCATGTTCAGGAATTCTCTCATAGTAAGGTTTGTTTTCTCTCTCTATTTTTCCTCTTCCTCTTCCTTCTTTTCTCGGTAAATCTTCTCCTTTCCCACAGTTTATGCATTTTTGGGACACAAAAAAGTTTAAAACGGGCAAACCATCCCAGTTGGTGGTTACCTGGTTAAACCAGTTTGTCACGGGTCCAACAAGAAAACCTGACCAGTTTGCCAGTTTTCTTATCGAACCGGTTGGCCAAGTCCGATTTTTTTTAACCTAAAGCAAAGAATAATCTAAAAACTCTTAGGGGGTGTTTGGATAACCTCAAACCATGGTTTGGAGAATAACTTCTGGAGAATAGATTCTGGAGAGAATAGATTTTGAAAGAATAACTTTTCTGAAAAAGTGATTCTGATAAAGTGAGAGTGTTTGGATAGTTGTTGTCAGAAGTACTTTTTTATATGTAGAAATTACAAAAAAGGACATAAGTATAAATAATAATTACATATAAGATATATTTCATAATATATCTTTATTTAAATAAATAAAAATATTAATAAAAAATTAATACGTACATATATTAATAAAATAAATAAATATGTTTTTTCCCAAAATAATTTAATAAAATAATTAAATATGTATATATATTAATAAATAATATATATTAATAAAATATGTATATATATATCACCGTTGGAAGCTACTGAGGGACCAATAATTACCAACGACTATTTTGACTCCTCAAAAGCAGGTGGCGTGCAGCTTCAACCGAAACCAAGGTTTCCAGCTCAAAACCATGGTTTTGCTGGAAACCATGGTTTTTAAAATTTTAAGGGTGTTTGGCAAATTTTTTGCCAAACCATAGTTTGGCTTCCCAAACCATGGTTTGGCAAAAAACCCAAACACCCTCTTAGTTTTATTGTGATGTTTCTACTTTTTCTATTGGGTTTGGGACTTTGGGTTTCGTTATTAATTTAATATGTATTGTGGGTCTTTAATTAGATATTTATATCAATTGAACCAAAAAAAAACAGCGGTATAAATATTTAATTATTAGCTGATAGATTTTTTTAGTGTATTTTCAGAAGAAAACCAAATCATCATCCTTCCACGAATCATCGATTCATATTAAAAGTTGTAAATACAAAATATTTTGAATCTATCTATGTTTATTTTTTTTCTTGGAAGTTGGAACCTGTGGGTAATTTTTCCAACTTTTTATTTGAAGTTTGGTGAAAGAGAACTATAAAAAAAATTACAAATTTGTTTGATTCGTTCTTCTGAACTTTACAATAATAAATTTAGGAGAATGAATATTTGTAGAAATTGAACTCTAAATTTTAAGATCCATAATGCCATAGGCTTAATTACGTGAATCGTTGTTTGCTTCTTTATTGATTCCAGGCTCGCTTCGGTGAAACATTTTCCTTTCCAGACTAATTTGACTCTACAGTTTGAGGTAATTAACTAAATAAATGCTTTATTTTTTTATTTATTTCATTTTAGTTGTTTGCTACGTCTTATGATTTTTTCTGCTTAAATAATTTCTATAACTGTGTGAAGTTACGACACTTTGGGGGCTAAGTTATGCTTTCTAGTACTCAATTTTGGGAAATCGCAGGAAATCCTTTCAATTTTGTTTAAGAAAAAATTCTCCATTTTTAGAGAGTATTTATTAATCATTAATTTACATTGGTGTCTATAATATCTTCTGGTATGGTATAACTTGAGAATTCCTGTTTTTCTTGTGCTCTCTCATAATTAATTAGTTTCAGTTATCGTCTTTCTGCATTGTCAATTTTCATGTCATTATTTAGATTTTATATTAGTTGGCAGCGAAAGTATGTAACAACCGAATGAACTCTTTTTACTTGATTTTATATTTATAATATGAGAGATTATTAGTACTAAAGCAACATTAAGTATATGTGATTGCGTTTTATTGCATCAGATGGCGGAGATTGTGACATCAATCGGGTCAAAGCTTGCAGAATATTTGGTGGCTCCAATTTCACAAGGAGCTACTTATTTGTTCTGCTTCAAGCAGTTCATTGGAGGTGTTGATAAAGCAAAACAAGAGCTGGAGGCAAAACTAGAAGACGTGAAAAAGCGCAAGGAAGAAGCTGACCGAAAAACTAAAGAAATAATGCCATCCGTGAAGAAGTGGTTGGATGATGTGAATGCAATCCTAGAAGAGGTGCAAAAGCTACAACAAGAGCTTGAAGGAGGACGAAACAAGTGTTTTAATGTGTCACTCAGATATTCTTTAGCAAAACGAATGGAAAATAAGGCTAAGCAAATGATATATCTCAAACAAAATTCCAGCTTTGAGCCATTTTCTCAACTGATCCAGCTTCCTGGCATTCCTGACTTCTCTTCCAAAGAGTTTATGGATTTCAACTCAAGGAAATCAACTTATGATCGTCTTTTGGAGGCAATTATAGATGGCAAAAACAAGATGGTGGGGCTGTATGGTATAGGGGGCTCAGGCAAAACAACTTTGGCAAAGAAAGTGGGCAAGAAAGTGGATGAGTTGAAGCTTTTTGACAAGGTCATCATAGCAGTCGTTTCTAAACCCCCAAATATTCTGAACATTCAGCAAGAAATAGCAGAGCAAATAGGCTTGCAATTTAAAGAGGCAATTCAAAGTAATAGAGCACAAAGGCTGTCAGAGGGATTGAAAAATAAGAAGATTCTTATAATCTTAGATGATGTATGGGAGTATCTAAGGCTTGAAGATATTGGCATTCCAACAGTTGGAGGTTGTCATATCTTGTTAACCACTCGCCTTCAAGATGTATGTGTCTCTATGGATTGTGAGAGTAAAATTGAGTTGCCACTTTTACCAGAGGAAGAGGCATGGTCATTGTTCAAGATGCGTGCTAACATAACCAATGTCTCAAGGAATGAGTTTGATAGCATTGGAAGGAAGATTGTTGATGAGTGTAAGGGTTTGCCTATAGCAATTGTAACAGTGGGAAGGACATTAAAAGGAAAGGGAATTCATGCATGGAGATCAACTCTAGAAAGGCTACTACATCCCCCACCATTGGATATTGAAGATGATTTGAAGAACCCTTATGTAATTCTCAAAGTAAGTTATGATAATTTGTCGAGTCAGCTAGCTAAGTCACTCTTCATATTGTGCTCTATGTTTCCTGAGGATCATGAAATTCATATAGAGGATTTAATTCGTTTTGGCAAAGGGACTCTTAAACTTGGTGAATGAATTTATACAATGGAGGAAACAAGGAATAGGATTTTAGCTAATATTGAGAAATTGTTAGATTCTTGTTTGTTAATCCATGCCAATAAGCAGGCACATGTAAAACTGCATGATGTGGTTTGAGATGTAGCCTTGTGGATTGCAAAGAAGCAATGTCAAGAAGTTCTGGTGGACAGCCAAGAAATTTCAAAGATGTTAATTGATAACTACCAAAGTTTGAAAGATACAAAGGCAGTGTCCTTGTGGAATTTGGATACGGGTTTTGAGCTCTCTAAACAATTGCATTTTCCAAAACTTGAGATTCTGCTACTTCAACCTTATGGTTTCATTCAAGATATTGGAGCAATGGAGTCACTCAAAGTCTTGGCACTCATAAGACATGGATTTGAGTGGGAATTGCAGCCGTGGTATCCAACATTTGGTTCAATTCCACAATCAGTTGTATCATTAACAAATCTTCACACCGTATGCCTTAGAGGGGAAAATTTGGGGGACATATCTCTTTTGGGTGAACTTAAAAGATTGGAGATTCTTGACTTACGTGGTTCTGGATTTGATGAATTACCTGCTGGAATTGTAGATATGAAAATGCTGAAACTTTTGGATATATTTGGTTGTCAAATTGAGAAAAGCCCTTTAGAAGTAATTGGAAGATGTGAGCGGCTTGAAGAATTATACTTTTGGGACCACAAATCTGTCATCCCAGAAATTCTCTCTCTTTCAAATTTGAAGAGGTATGTTATCTATGATTCCAGATTAATTCGTCACTGTTGGGATGACTCTTTTGAAGAATATTTGGATAGCTGTGATGAAGCATTAAGAGCTTTATGTATACAAGGCTTTAGAGTCTCTGATTTGAATTTACCAATGAAAGATCACATTCTGAGAGCCAACCACCTTTGGCTAGATAATTGTAGGTGGGATTATGAGGATATAAATTTGCAGATAAATTATGAGGATATCCTGCTGTCAAGAGAAAAGATTCATCATCGAGAACCCTAATATGAACATTCTTCAAACACAACAAGTGTTCTCACAGTTGATCACTTTAAGATTGTCTAAAATGAATAGTCTTGAGCAAGTGTTTCAAGATTCATCTCTCAGATGCTCGCTCCCCATGTTACAAGAGCTATGGATACGGAGTTGTCCTGAATTGAGAATTTGTATCTTCTCACATGCCACCATTACGAGCCTGCCAGAGTTGAGAAAACTTCATATTGATGGTTGTAACAAAGTGAAATGGCTATTCTCTTGTTCCCGCTTCTTATTGTCCTTTACTGAAGGAAATAATTATAAGCAATTGCTCTGAATTTGAGAGGCTCATTGATGAAGAAGCTACACATGGGGATCCACTATTTCATGATAAGCAACATCATCCATATGTAAGTATTATTCGCAAAATTCCTCTTAAATCACTGCATATTAGAAATAATAGTCCATGTTCACACATTCGATGAAAAATATTTATCTTTTCATTTTATTTTTAAACTGAATTTTTTTGCTTTTCTCTTTTGGTACACATAAATTTGATATCCTTTTCTCAATATATGTGAAATCAATGCCTTTTTATTTTAACTCCTGTGCTGGGGAAAAAAAACCTAGAATCATGCAACTGCTAATAATTTCACTTTTAGGTGATTTTTTTTTCTTTTTGCTTACTCTACCGTTTTTTTTTTTGGAGAACAAATTGAAGATATTACTTTTTTCGTTTAATTTGAAAAATCTGTGCTTATGATCGAACAATATATATAGGCATAAAACATATATATTCTCAATAACCAACAATAGTCATGTTATTTTTCTTTTTGTTTATTCTACCTCTTCTTTCTTTTTAATTTAAAGATAGCCATGTTTACAATCGTATAATATATATATTTATGTTTTAAAAAATATTCTTAGTAAGAGATAATAGTCATTTTATTTTTGACTTGAGTTCATTGTAACTGTATAAGCCTCTTTTTATTATGAAGTTTTCTGAGCTCTGCATTTAGGCTGCACGATAAAAACTACGTTTTGGGTTTTTCTTTATTTTCAAAATAACAAAATACTATTGCTTCTTCAAGCGTTGTATTTTTCATATTAATTCTTTTTTGGCAACAAGTATTTATCGTGGGGAGTACTTATTCAAAGTTGTTCTATTTATAATAAATTGGCATTGATGCATTTTCCATATATAAAATGTTCTTTCTTTCTTCGTTTGGATTTTTCTGCAATGCTTTTTTGTGGATGTGAAAAAACACTTTTTAACGGTGCCTCTCTCGGTCTTAAACAATTGTATGTTTATATTTCAATTTTTGGTCAAAGAAAGATTTTTGTTGGTCAAAAAATATATAATATGTCTACTTATATGTATATCATTAATTAAATGTTATAGCAGAGGTTGAATTTAATCATGGAGCAAAACATATATAGAATATTCGTTTGTTAAATACATGTTGAGATTATGTTAATTATCACCATTTAAAAAATACATGAAATCAATTTCAAAATTTTGGCCCAAAAAAAAAATCAATTTCAAAATGAAAGTCAAGTGTTGTTTGTTATCATAAAATAGTTTGGTAAATCATAATTTCTATCACCATCTATATATTAATTGTGGAAAGTAATTAAAGAAGCTAATATATTATAAATTAGTGTCGTTTCTTTCTTTATTTAAAGACTTTTAACTACATAACAATGTTCGTATAATGAAATTCTATATCTTTGCACTACTGCTAGTCCTCAAGTATAAAATATAGTTTGCAGTGCACCTCAATGATAATATTTTTAAAATATGTAGGATACATATATAATCATATATAATTGGAGAACCTTGTATAATGAATATAAAGAATTTGACCTAAATATTGTTGCTTAATATTTATGTTATATACTAAACATTAAAGAGAAGATTAAGGACTAAGTAGCAATAATAAATAAAAGTCCAGGGACCAAATTTTATATTAAGTTAAAATTATTGGGACTAAGAGGTTTGTTTTTTTTTTAAGAGTTAACTACTAATTATGTTTTGTAACCAAATTACACTGCTACTTCTACTTTTCTTTTTCTTTTTTCAGTATTACAAAAATTATTTATAAATTGTCTACTTGTATTTTTTTTCTTTTTTGAGTATTACAAAAATTATTTACAAATTGTCTTTGTTATCTCATTCTTCCGAGCGGCACTTTAAATTTTTTGTTTTATATTTTGTCAATAAAATAATGATTCAGGATACCACATTTTAAGATAAATGTTTTCTTAAATTTTCTTTTGATATTTAAAAAGATCTCTCTTACCGTGCCTCTTTTACCGCTATTAAAATTTTTATATTTTCATTTCAAGTTTTGGTAAGAAAAAAAGTCCTGATTGTTACTATATATATTTGCCCAGTTGTTAAAAAGGATTATTTACTAGCAATAGTTGGCAATAATTAATATACAATATAAGAAACTTACTGGGTTTAATCTCCAATCTAGTTAGAGTAAAAAGCAAGTTGTTTTTGTACAGCCATACGCGATCGTGGGGGCTTGATGTAAGGTTGCTTTGTTATTTAAAAAAAAAAAAGCAAGTTGTTATAATCAGTCCATTTCATAATTTTAATTTTAATACATTTACAGGGAAAGGAAACTGACAGTGCTTATGTGGGCGTTACAGCAAAAAGATTCAATCAGTTGCAAAATCAGCAATCCTTGATCCTTTTTCTCAGGTTGAAAAGTCTACAAATTAAAAGGAGTGGAAAAAAGAAAGGTATATTGGAAATCCAAGTCAGAGAAAGAGTAGAAGATGATGAAGAATCTATTAAAGCACAAGAACCTCTAAAGCTGGATTCAAAGTTGAGTGAATTAAAATTAGGTGGTCTACCAGAATTGGAATATATTTGGAAGGGCCCCACCCAAATTATGAGCCTCCATAAACTTGAAAATGTTTCATTGGGGGGCTGCCCAAAATTAAAAAGTATCTTCACTCTAGCTATTGTTGCAAGCCTTCCAGAGTTGAGAGCACTTGGAGTATATGATTGTGAGGAATGGGAGGGAATATTTTGTGAAGAATCACTCAAAAACCTCTCTTCTTCTAATATTTGCTTCCCCAAACTCAGAGGATTAACATATACCGTTGCAACAAAGTGAGATGGTTGTTATCTTATTCTCTGGCATCTCATTGTCCTTCACTAGAGGATATAACCATATACTGTTGCTCTGAATTTGAGGGGCTTATTGGTGAAGAAGCTGCACATGGGGATCATCCACAGGTAAGTCTCATCCGCAATGTCTCTCTCTCTTTTTTTTTTTTTACCAGCAAATCCGCAATGTCTCTCTTGAATCATTGCATATTAGAAATAATAATAATCCATATATGTTGACGCATTTGCTAAAGTAGCCGTGTTCAATTTACATCTCCCTTTTATTTGAAAATTTTTTGTTTGCTATCGTATAATATATATATTTGTATAATCATTAAACATAACTTCTACAGTAATTATTTTATTTTTGACTTCACTTTATTATACCTGTATAAACCTCTTTTTATTATTAAATTTTCTTGGCTATATATTCAGGCTGCACGATGAAACTATTTTCTAAGTTTTCCTTATTTTCATAATAATAAAATATTATTTCCTTTTTTTTTTTTAAATAACAACTTTTATTTGTCAGATGCAGTAACATTTTACATTTCGTATTCTGCATTTTGGTTAAGTAAATGACTTTTTCATATTGCTTTTGCTATTAGGTATTTATTGTGGGAAGTGCTCATTCAAAGTTATTTTTATTCAAAAATAAATTAGTGTTGATGCATTATATAAAAACTACACATACTTTAAGAGAAATATTTTTCCCTTTCAAATTTTTTCGCCATGCTTTTTTTTCTTTTCGATGTGAGAAAATACCTTTTTGTGGCTCTTTCTTTTTCTGCTAAAAATTAAGTTAACATTAGTATTTTTGTTCAAATAATTCTTGTCGGTCAAGAAATATTTAATATGTGTACTTCTTGTTAAAAAAAGATATATATTATTTATTAAATGTGAT